GGATGGAAGGCTGAGTCAACCTTGAGCCTGCTGAGATTCGAACTTACAGTAATTGCAGACAGCTGGTGTTAATCACAATGCTTTTAGTCTGCTGAGCTACCAGGCCCATACCATTTTGCATCAGTTGCGCCCCTACCTGGACCGAGATGCCTTACGCTCACCCATGCACTCGTCACCTCCCGGATCGACTATTGCAATGCTCTCTACATGGGGCTGCCCTTGAAAACCACTCGGAGGCTTCAGCTGGTGCAGAATGCGGCCGCGCAGGTAGTGATGGGAGTGTCCCGATGCTCCCATGTCACACCCCTCCTGCGTGACCTGCATTGGCTACCAGTTGCCCTTCAGGTGAGGTTCAAGGTGTTGGTGATTATCTATAAAGCCCTACATGGCTTAGGCCTAGGGTATTTGGCGGGTCATCTGCGGCCAGCAACAGCTCCCCATCACCCGGTGTCCTCACACAGAGAGGGCCTACTTGAGGTCCCATCGGCCAAGCAATGCCGGCTGACGGCCCCTAGAGAGCAAGCCTTCTCTGTAGGCACACCTACCCTCTGGAATCAGCTCCCCTTGGAGCTCCGGGTGGCCCCTGACCTTCGCTCTTTCCGCCGTGACCTTAAAACATGGTTGTTTCGCCAGGCTGGCCTGGACTGAATGGGGTTTTAATGGAATTTTTAGTTTCTTTTATTGTTTGAATTTTTAATCTGGACTTGTTGTTGCTTATTGCTGTGAGCCGCCCTGAGTCCTTGTGGAGAAAGGGCGGCATATAAGTCCGATAAAATAAATAAATAAATAAATAAATAAATAAATAAATAAATAAATAAATAAATAAATAAATAAATAAATTTGTCAGTTCTCCAAACTACTCAAAATTTCTGCTACCGGTACCGATTCAGAACCGGAATCTGAATTCAAATCTGAATTTGAAACGGAGTAGACATGCTGATTTTTGAGGAAGCAGCTATCTAGAGAAGTGGTAGATCCTCCTACTTCTTGAATGGGGTTATACTCTCTCAGAAAGACAAGACTTGAAAGTGCCTCTGAGCCCAAATCTCTCTCTAGATCCCTTGAGTGAGGACATAGACTTATAGAATCACAGGGCTGGAAGGGACCTTGGTGGTCCAACCACCTTACCAGGGCAGGAGTCCTTTGGTGGGAAACCCTCTACCTTGACTAGAGTACTGTGTTCCACTGTGGGGAAAACCCTTGCATAGCAATGGAAATGTTGGGTTTGCTTGTCATAAGTGGAGGACTACTTAATATATTGTTTTGTTGACTGGCAGCTGCTCAGAGTTGGCTTTTAAGATGGGTGACTGTAGAAACATAATAGACAAATAGAATAGAGTAACAGAGTGGGAAGGGACCTTGGAGGTCTTCTAGTCCAACCCCCTGCTTAGGCAGGAAGCTCTATATCCGTGATGGTGAACCTGTGGCACGTGGAGCCATATCAGTGGGCACAAGAGCATTGCCCTATCCTAGCTGCAGCGTGCATGCATGGGCTGGCCAGCTGATTTTCGGGCCTTCCAGGCCCACTGGAAATTGGGAAACAGGCTGTTTCCAGTGCCTGGAGGGCCTCCGGGAGAGTGAGGAAGGCTGCTTTCGCCCTCCCCAGACTCCTAGAAAGCCTCTGGAGCCTGGGGAGAGCGAAAAACGGGCCTACCGGGCCCTTCATGCCACTGCATGCCAAAAGTGGGGGGAGTGCGGGGGGAGTTGTGTGCACATGCACGGGGGGGGGGAGCGGGGTGCATTAAATGGGTATGGGCACACACGCACATGACCCCCCTGCGCTCCCCCTGCTTTTGGCACGCAATGGCAAAAAGGTTAGCCATCACTGCCCTATACCATTTCAAACAAATGGTTGTCCAATCTCTTCTTTAAAATTTCCAGTGTTGGAGCACTCACAACTTCTGCAGGCAAGTTGTTCCACTGATTAATTGTTCTAACTGTCAGGAAATTTCTCCTTAGTTCTAGGTTGCTTCTCTCTTTGATTAGTTTCCACCCATTGTTTCTTGTTCTTGTTGTTCAGGTGCTTTGGAGAATAGTAATAGGAGTAGCTTTGGAGAAATGAGATAGATGGATGGATGATAGATAGGATAGGATAAAATAAGATGTAAGATAAGATGTAAGATAAAATTAGCTATAAGATGAGGGGAGGGGAGAGAGGAGAGATGAGATAAGAGGTATGAGAAAAGAAGATAGATGATAGATAAACAGACTGACAGACAGACACTTGGACTTAAAACTCTTGTCTTGCCATTTGTTTTTGGGCAAATACAAAATGTAGGGGATTACCCTTAAAGCCAGGGATAGGCAGCTATGATCCCTTTAAGACCTATGGATTTCAGCTCCCAATATTCCTGAGCAAGCTGGCTCAGGAGTTGAAGTCCACAGGTCATAAAGGGGCCAGAGTTGCTGTTATGGCTCCGATCACCGAGCCTGTGTTATCAGCAGGAGAGGACTCCGAGAGTGAAGGAGAGGAGTTGGCAAGGCCTCCCTCTCCAGGACCCTCCTCTCTGGCAATGCCTCCGGTGTCCTCCGAAGGCCAAGAGATAGGCCCAGGGCCAAGCACTTCCACGCAGTCGCAGGTGGACAGTAATGATGATGATGATGAGTCTTGGCTGGACCCTTGATAGCGTCGCAGAGATAAGCGCGCGCAGCAGAGGAAGAGGCGTGCCAGGGATTAGGCTGAGTCACTGGACCACGCCCCACAGGGTATAAAAGGGGGTGTGGTGGCCATTCAAGCTCTGTGACGAGCAAAAACTGATATTGAACAAACCTCTCTGCATTGCTGGACTTTTGAATATTCTTTTATCTGTTGTGTGTTGGCTTTGAAAAACACTCCCTTCGTAACTAAAAGACTTTTGGCAGCCAGCCACTGGGTTGCTGCCAATTCTGCTCTTAGAGAAACCTTTGTCGGCTGGTTTATTTCACTATTGACTGTCTGTGGGGGTGCGTGTGTGAGACGGGAACAGAACAGTTGCCCACTCCTGCTTAAACTTGGCAACTTTTAAGATACATGGACTTCAGCTTCCAGAATTCCACATCCAGCATGCATTCAAAAGAAAACCTCCTATAGGACCCTCATTTTTACTAAGCTTATTTGAGTAGCTTGCCTAAAATTATCTGTAATTGAGCTTTTTCAGCTGCTGCCCCTCTTCTCTAGCATGCAATCCCTGAAACATTGAGAGCTTGACCTCTTTATTAGCTTTATAAAGCACCTGCAATACCTCTTTTTATTTGAACTTTTAAATGTTAATGATGACATTTTAAACTTTTTAAAAACTTTTTGTTTTAATTGGTCTTAAGTGGAGGGTTTTGTGTGTTGGTTTTCAAACTGTTATCCCTGTAATCTATTCAATGGCTTTGATAGCTGGTGCTACTGGTTGTTGTTGTTAATTGTGAAATTATATCCGACCCATCATGACCCCATGGACAACGTTCCTCCAGGCCTTCCTGTCCTCTACCATCCTCTGGAGTCCATTTAAACTCACACCTACTGTTTCAGTGACTCCATCCAGCCACCTCATTCTCTGCCGTCCCTTTCTTCTTTTGCCCTCAATCTTTCCCAGCATTAGGATCTTCTCCAGTGAGTCCTTCCTTCTCATTAGGTGGCCAAAGTATTTGAGTTTCATTTTCAGGATCTGGCCATCTAAAGAGCCATGCTACTGGTACATCAAATCAAATAATATACAGGTACTCCATGATTTACAGTTGAGGTAACTGAGCCTGAAATAATGGCTGTAAATTGTGTCGGTCATTAAGTGGGTCACCACATGATCACATCTAATTTTACAACCTATTTTGTGACAGTCAATAATGAATGGGGCAGTCATTAAGCAAACCCATTCTAATAGCAGTGACTGTGAGAGAGATCTTGGAGTCTTAGTGGACAACCAGCTAAATATGAGCCAGCAGTGTGCAGCGGCAGCCAAAAAAGCCAATGGAATCCTAAATTGCATTAAGAGAGGGATACAATCAAGATCAAGTGAGATACTAATACCACTCTATAAAGCCTTAGTAAGACCACACCTAGAGTACTGCATCCAGTTTTGGTCACCACACTATAAAAAAGATGTTGAGACTGTAGAAAAAGTGCAGAGGAGAGCAACCTGGATGATTAGGGGACTGGAGGCTAAAACATATGAAGAACGGTTACAGGAACTGGGCATGGCTAGTCTAGTGAAGAGAAGGACCAGGGGAGGCATGATAGCAGTGTTCCAATATTTGAGGGGCTGCCACAGAGACGAAGGGGTCAATCTATTTTCCAAAGCACTCGAAGGCCAGACAAGAAATAGTGGATGGAAACTGACCAAGGAGAGATTTGCTAGAAATGAGGAGGAACTTTCTGACAGTGAGAACAATCAACTAATGGAACAGAAGTTGCCTTCAGAAGTTGTGGGAGATTCATCACTTGAGACTTTCAAGAAAAGATTGGACTGTCATTTGTCAGAAATTGTGTAGGGTCTCTTGCTTGAGCGGGCGTGGGGGGGGGGGTGTTGGACGAGATGACCTATAAGGTCCCTTCCAACTCTGTTAATCTGTTAATCTGTTTTCTACCCATTTTTTCCCCCAGAAAACACAAGTAAATGGTAGTTTCTTGCCCAAAGCATTGTAAATTGTGGTCATGTGCAAACAACCATAAATGCAGGCTAGTTGCCAAGTGACCAAAATGTGTTCATGTGACCCTGTGGTAGGTTGTGTGTGTGTGTGTCTGTGAGTGTGGCCATCAGAACTTTGAAATCAGGTTGTAAGTTGTTTTGGAGTGACTGGAAGTAAGTCAAGATAAAATGTTGAATTGTGCCAAAATGTTATCTTGCCTAATGCTCTGTTTTCCTGTGCAACCAATAATGTGTATCAGAAATGTTTAGCCGTTAGCAGAATGTCTCCGTTGATGCTCTGTTTCCAATGGTATTTAACACAGTAAGTCATCTGAATATGGACATTCCTTTTATGCCATCAAAGCTAATAGCTGTTGATAGACCTTGAACATATCCTATGGCGATCGGTTCTGGAAATGAAAGAATTTAATTAAACAAATTGAACAACAGCTGCATTCACAACCATTTAACCTGATTACTGAATTAACCCAGTTTTCTGGGTTTGTAGAATTCATTGCACAGAAATCAACCAAGCAGGATGCACATCGAACTAGGCCATTAAGAAACTAACAAAGATCAACACAAACCATTCTTAGCATATTATCCAGATGCAAACTCTTAAGTGTTTAAATGACCTGGCTAAATATGTCATGGGAGAACCCTCTTCTCTTACCCAGAATTTTTAGATCTTGGATTATTTAATTGGATGTCCCAAGAGAAAGAAAACTTTCTGTTTTAAAGAAGCTTTTTTCCTTTTTCTTCCACCAACTGTGCTGAATTTAAATTAGCCAATGGTTAAGGAAGCCAATCAACACATGCCAAAATCGTGACAAGGGATTTCGCTCCAAGTAGAAAACAGTGTGAGTTTTTGTTTGTTTGTTTCTAAGCCACATTTTCACAGGATTTTTCTTTAAATTAAGATTGCATATTTCACATTCCACATACACCAAAGCAAAAATATTCCCTTTGCTTATAGGGAACTTGGGAGAAATACAGTTCCTCGTGAAAACATCCTCATTATCTATCATCGACTAATAATTGGAAACAGTGTACTTTCTTTTTAAGAGTGACAAAGGGCAAGAAATTTGATCCCTAGAAAGCACAAATTGCAATTCTGTTGGCTATAAAAATACTGCTTGAGATACATATATATAAATCAGCAAAAATCTGGTCTAGGGCTTGTCCTAGCGAAGGCAGAGCCTGTCTCATTTATCGATTTGTTTAAATCGGTTGTTTGCATAAATTTTCAAGCATAACTTTCCTTAAATATTCAATAATATTACATACATTTTCTCCTAAAGTACCAGCTTTTTAATGGAAATTCCCTTAATTTTTTTAAATTTTTAAATTTTTTTGTAAACATACTCTTCCGTGACACTCTTTGTGATGAAATTTTCCCCTTTCCTCTCTTATTTTTTAAAATCTACACTCCTCCACCATATTGACTGATTATGTACCATCAAGTCAATTTTGATTCCAAGCGTCCACACAAATAGAATTTTTTTCCATAACCATCTATCTTTTTTTTTTTTTTTAGCCTGTTATTTAGGCTCTTGGTTTCTTACATAACTCCGCTGTGATGTATGCAATTTCAGAAACAATCCTTTATGGCTGTATATTTTTCACAAACAAATTGGTTTAATGTGTGTGTGTGGGAAATTTTCATGGGAGTAATACAGATGTTAGGGTCCATTCACTGCAATGGCAGAGTCCACGTTCTTCTGTTGCTGCAAATCTCTTCTTTTAAAACTCCCTGGTGGGTTGCATTGACATCCCTATCAATTCATGACATTTCAGGATAATTCTTGCTCCTCTTTTGAACTAGTAGCATGAAGTCGATAACAACATGGTGTGTGCTTGGTATGAAGAGCACATTCTTCAAAAAGTCTATAAAATGTCCTTCTAGAACTCCAGAGCACTTGAAACTTCCAAATGAGGCTGTGATAGACATCTCATGCTACCTTCATGGAAGATGACTGGGTTTGTTTGTTTTTTTAAAATCTTTTGACATGGTATTCCATATTAATATATTAGGTCATTTCTAAGATTGTGTGCATTCAAATAAAAGAATATCAAAAGTTTCATCTCTGAACCTCAAATATAATTTGCTGGTCCTGTATCTGGAGTGGGGATTTGGGTTATTTTTGGAAAAGTTTGTAAGCTTTCATTACTTGTCCTTAAGCCAAGATGTTCCTTGAGCCTTCAGGATAATGACAACTGTCGATCTGGAATGTTTTCATTCAGTCAGTCAAAGTTTGGCAGAGTAGATAAGCAAAGTTCAAATAAATAAAATGTAAAAAAAAAAAAAAAACCCAACAACAACAACAACGCAAACACCTTCCCTTGTGAGTCTTCCCTGATAGTGTGAATGAGAGTGGAAGGTTTGATAAAAATGTCTCCCCTGGTGAGAACTCAAGTCTGAAGAATTCTTGAAGGTTGGATAAGAGGTTCTCTACTTGATAAAATGTTTAATTGTCCACCTTTGACCTGTGCAGCTGCGAAGAATAAGATCCATACCTGACGTGCCTTTATTTTCAACTTCCAAGCAGCGTCCTGTCCCTTTGTTTAGGATTGCACCATGCTGGATTATGTTTAAGAGAGAGAGAGATAAATAAATCAGTGTTAACATCTATCATCTTTTAATAGGTCAGATTACAATTCCCATGCCAGCTGGGAATTTTTGAAGTTGTAATTCAGGACATGCAAGGAAGAAGAATCCCCCTTTTTTTGATATTGTCCTATAACTTCAGGCTAAAAAAATTACCAGCTTTGACTTGCTGTAACTGGATCAACCATTAGATGGCAGTAAAGGGATATAACATTCTAATCCTTTGCTGCCACTAGTGGCAATTTTAAGTTTTGCAGCGAGATTTGCTAGCCCTAAGCTAGGGGTGTCAAACTGGCAGCACCACCTGTTGGTGCAGGGGTGAAATCCAGCAGGTTCTGACAGGTTCAGGAGAACCAGTAGGGGAGATTTTGAGCAGTTCAGAGAACTGGTAGCAGAAATTTTGAGTAGTTTGGAGAACCAGCAAATACCACCTCTGGCTGATTGGATCGCCCGATCCGGTAGCGATAGCGGCGGGTAGTTCGGAGAACCAGTAGCAAAAATCCCTCCCCCCCCCATGCCCAGCTGAGCCACGCGATCGTCAGAGCCTTTTTTTAACTTTTAAAAGCATTTTTTCTACAACCTCTTCGGCTGAAGAGGTTGTAGAAAAAATGCTTTTAAAAGGCTCTGACAATCACAGCTGAGCCGCGCGATCATCAGAGGCTTTTTTTTTTTACTTTTAAAAGCAATGCCACAGCTGATCACCACCCCCCCCCCCCCCCCGCTCTACTTACTGCATGCCTCCTTTTGGTGTGCACGGCGTATGCGCAGCCAGCAAACCAGTAGTAAACTGGTTCAGATTTCACCCCTGCCCTGCATATGGTGTTATCTCATACTGCAGCCAAATTATTTAGGCAGGACAGCTATACTGTATATCTGAGAGAAATGAGCACGCCTGCTTTGCTTTCAAATGTTTTCAGCTTTCAATCCTTGGCATGTTCGGTTAATGTTGGGAAATCTCTCCAATGCAAGCAAGGCTGATTTTGGTAGGAAATGAGGAAGCTTCCAGAATTCTAGTGTGTGTGTGTGTGTGTGTGTGTGTGTGTGTGTGTGTGTGTGTGTGTTGCCCACACTTATTTTGGACCAAGGCAACAAAGGAGAATTCTCAGATTCCACATACTAATTGAAGATAGCCAGACTCCAAACTAGTTCACATAATCTCATAGAATGTACTTCATAATGATACCCGAGAATAGCTGGACCAGTGGTTTGATTTAGCGGAGGGCTGCTTCGTATATTATAAAACAGCTATGGAAACATCACCGCATTAAAATTAAAATTAATACAGCCGAACTAGGCTGGAAATCAACTGAAATTCTCTGTTTAGTTTTACGTAGGTCTAATTTCAGCGGCTTACAAGCATAGGGTAGGCAAAGATAACTGAATAATTATTTGATGCATATTCTTGACAAATATATCTTTTCTTTCATATACACTGAGAGCATATGCACCAAGACAAATTCCTTGTGTGTCCAATCACACTTGGCCAATAAAGAATTCTATTCTATTCTGTTCTGTTCTGTTCTGTTCTGTTCTATTCCATTCCATTCAGGGGTGGGTTCTACTTACCTTTACTACTGGTTCGCAGTGGGGCTGCGTGTGTGTGTGAGCGAAGCGAGCACGTATATGTGCTCTTCTGCGCAAGCGCAGAATTTTCTGCACATGCGCAGAAGTGTTTTGATGACGTCGGGGTCGAAGGGTGGAGCCTTTACTACCGGTTCTATAGAACCGGTGTGAACCAGGAGCAACCCACCACTGATTCCATTCCATTCCATTCCATTCATTGTTAGTTTTGGCTCCTATCACAAAGGGTGTGGCTGTTTGTTTTTGTTTTTAAATGCCATCTGTTTTAGCCGCCCTTTTATCAAAACCAGGTAACAAATTGTGTATTCAAAACTGGCCCTTCCTCTACTGAATGTTGGTGGTATGTACATGGAGGGAATGGGAGATGGCTATCAGCTCACGGCTAGAAATGATGCGACGTTTTTAAAAAGATGTATAATTTTAATGAGATGGCCAAGTAGTTTTCCAGTTCTTTCTTCTCCTTTAAATTAAAACAAGCCCAAAAAACAAAAAAACAAAAACACCTTTGCAGTCAGTGATCAAACCCAGTTTGGGGATGATAAAGGGCCAATTTGGCAACATTACTACTCCTGGCTCCATTGTCTCAAAGGTGCTTTTAACAGATTAACAGAGTTGGAAGGGACCTTGCAGGTCATCTAGTCCAACCCCCCATCCAAACAGGAGACCCTACACCATTTCTGACAAATGGCAGTCCAGTCTCTTCTCGAAAGCCTCCAGTGATGAAACTCCCACAACTTCTGAAGGCAACTTCTGTTCCATTGGTTGATTGTTCTCACCATCAGAAAATTTCTCCTTATTTCTAGGTTGAATCTCTTCTTGATCAGTTTCTATCCATTATTGCTTGTCTGGTCCCCTCCTCTCTGTGGCATCCCCTCAAGTATTGGAAGACTGCTGTCATGTCTTCCCTGATGCTTCTCTTCATTAGACTAGCCATGCCCAGTTCCTGTAACTGTTCTTCATATGTTTTACCCTCCAGTCCCCTAATCATCCTGGTTGCTCTTCTCTGCACTCTTTCTAGAGCCTCAACATTTTTTTAATAGTGTGGGTGACCAAAACTGGATGCAGTATTCTAGGTGTGGACTTACTAAGGCTTTCTAGAGTGGTATACTAAGGCTTTTTTCAAAAGACAACTGGACTATATTTTTGTTTTTGAGGAAGTAGACATTTCACTTCTCATCCAAGAAGCTTAATCAGTTCTGACGGGATGACAGGGTGGATGGAAGGATTACTTCTGACATCCCAACTCCCCCCCCCTCATCCAGTCAGAACTGACGAAGCTTTCTGGATGAGAAGCAAAAGCTCTTTTTCTTCCTCAAAGGAAAAAAAAGCACATAGCTCAGTTGCCTTCTGAAAAAAAGCCCTTTTGGAATAACCATGTGTTGGATGACTGAGAATCTCCATAGACACCTAGCCCCATTCTAAAACTATTTTAGAAACAGCTGGCTGGAAGAAAAGAAATGAAGATTAGAAAATTTAGGGCAGTGATGGCTAACCTTTTTGCCATCGCGTGCCAAAACCTGGTTATTAGGACCTGGTTATTTACGGGACTGCCTGCTACCACCAATAGCCTCCCACCGACCAGTACGCTCCCATAGAGAGGGACTCCTCCGGGTGCCGTCGGCCAAACAATGTCGACTGGCAGCCCCCAGGAGGAGAGCCTTCTCTGTGGGGGCACCTACGTTCTGGAACGAGCTCCCCCCCGGAGATACGGAGGATCCCGGATCTGCGTACCTTCCGTCGCGCGCTCAAGACTTTCCTATTTCATCAAGCCGGCCTGACCTAAGTCTTTCCCCTTTAAAATGGAAATTTTAAATCTGGTTTTAAATTATTGGGGTTTTAAATTTGTTCAGCCAAATTATTTAATTCGTTTTAATCTATTTTAAATTTTGTATTTATATGTTTTATTCTATGGCTGTTCACCGCCCTGAGTCCTTCGGGAGTAGGGCGGTATACAAATTCAATAAAATAAAATAAATAATCAATAAAATAAAAGCGGGGGTCACGCAGAGGGGTCGCACGCGCATGTGCCCACACCCATAATTCTATGCGCCCCACCCCCTGTGTATGTTTGCGTGACTTCCCAGCATTTCTCCCCATTTTTGGCACGTGATGGCCCGGTAGGCTGTTTTTTGCCCTTCCCAGGCTCCAGAGGCTTTCTAGGAGCCTGGGGAGGGCAAAAATGGCCTTCCCCCACACCCCCGGAGGCCCTCTGGAAGCCGGAAACAGCCCATTTTCCGACTTCCGGTGGGACCGGAAGGCCCCAAAATCAGTTGGCCGATGCACACATGTGTGCTGGAGCTGGACTCACGTGCCCACTGATATGGCTCCATGTGCCACCTGTGGCACACATGCCATAGGTTCGCCATCTTGGGCTTAGGGTATGGATCTTCTGAGAATAAGCATCTTTTTTTTTTTTTTTACAATCTTTTTTTACAATCTTTGCAGAAAAGCTGTAAAGGTCATCAAACCTCTCCTTGTGCTTTTATTAGAAGAGGATGACTTACAGAAGGGAAGATCTGGCTAAGGTATCCAGGAGCCTGGATAGCTCAGCAGACTAAAAGCATTGTGATTAACACCAGCTGCCTGCAATTACTGCAAGTTCAAATCTCACCAGGCTCAAGGTTGACTCAGCCTTCCATCCTTTCTAAGGTAGGTAAATTGAGGACCCAGTTTGTGGGGGCAATAAGCTGACTTTGTATAAAATATATAAAAGTATGAAGGCTATTGCTTAACGCATTGTAAGCCGCCCTGAGTCTCCGGAGAAGGGCGGCATATAAATCTAATTTAAAAAAAAAAAAAAAGGTTTAACCTTATAGTTATTCAAATGCTCCACCAGCAGGGGTGATTTTGAACAGGGACTGCTGCTTTAAAACAAAAAAGGCTTACCACTGTAGGAAGTTAGCACCCACCCCTCTTCTAGGAAAATGAGATATTTTAGAAAATACTAAAGGGGCAGAATATTTCCCCTAAAAGGGAGGCAGAAACTCACTCCTCCCCCACCTTTGTCAATGGGCCATTAAGGCCTGGGCCAGTCTCTTCTACATAACAAAGATCTACCTCCTTCAGACAGAGCCATAGTAGGAATTGCCCAAAGCCCCTTCATTACATCATCACCCAGCAAGAGTCAACCAAGCTTGGGACAACCTACAAAGTTATCCCTGGCCCCATGGGAGTTTGACAACCAATCAGAATACAAGCTCAAATTCAAAGCTGAACAGAGGGTATAAATCTCTCTCTCTCTCTCTGCCGCCCATGTGCTTTTTGCCCAGGATGTCAAACCATGTGGTCATGTCCACCATTAAAAACCATCTTTCCAATCAGCCACCGTGTTTCCAGTGTCTTTCTTCCCCACGTGGAACTGAACCCAGAAGGATATTTCTTCCAACACCACAAACAACTCATATGAAAATAATTGCAAAAAAAAAAAAAAGCATGAACCTGTATAAAATTCCAACGCTTATGGAGGCTGCTCTTGACTTTCTCACAGTCAAGCAGCTGAGGGAGTTTACTCTTCACATTATCCACCAAGCAGCGGGTATCTGGGAGCAATATTGTGGTCCCAAGAGCTCCTAAATGCAGAAATCCTTCTTTGGTGTAGCGAGCAAGCTAGGGAAGGAAGAGAGAGAGAGAAAAAGAGCCAGGTTTAGTGAGATGAATGTTATCTACTGCAGAACCAAATACAGTCTGGTAGTGAAAGATAATATGGATTATTATGATCTTAAATGATGTTTTGCTCTGATGAAACTCCAACTCAAGGACTGCGCAAAGCTCTGGGCAAAGGTTCAGAGAAACCATGGAGAAGGTCCAGAGAAAGACGTTAAGGATAATCAGGGGATTCAGCCTTATAAAGAGTGATGGGTATGTTTCAGGGGTGGGTTCTAAATTTTTTTACTACCGGTTCTGTGGGCGTGGATTATTTTGTGGGTGTGGCTTGGAGGTCATGTGACTAGGTGGGTGTGGCTAGCTGGTCAGAGTCATTTCTGGAAGTTCCTCGCACTTACGACCAGTCCTCACACTTGCGACCTGACTCATTTGTTTGCTTTTAACACTGATCAGCTGTAGGACGGCCCTTTGAAGCCCCGCGGCAAGAGTTTAAACAGTTTTTTCCCCTCTAGTCATCAGCTGGGACTCAGGAGGCAGCAATAGATTGGGGGTGGGACCAAATAAAAGGTAAGAATAACGTGGGGGGGTGGGGGGTGGGAGGGCGGGGGGGAGAACCGGTTCGGTGATGTCATATCGTCACCGCTACCAGCTCAGCCGAACCGGACCGAACCGGGAGGAACTCACCACTGGTATGTTTAGACTTCAGTGTGTGGTGATTGACTCACATTCTTTCAGTCCATGCCTACAGTATGATACGCTCCTGTATCATCAACCATAGTGGTGCAGCGGTTAGAATGCAGTACTGCAGGCTATTTCTGCTGACTGCCTGCAGTTTGGGAGTTTGATTCTCACCAGGCTCAAGGTTGACTCAGCCTTCCATCCTTCCGAGGACAGTAAAATGAGGACCCAGATTATTGGGGGGGGGCAATAAGGTGACTCTGTAAACCATTTAAAGAGGGCTGTAAAGCACTGTGAAGTAGTATATAAGTCTAAGTGCTATTGCTATTCGTCAAATAACCAAAGGCTTTTCCCAGAGCCTAAATCTATTACAGAAGGCAAACATCACTGTTAGAGAAGACTTCCTAATGGTAAGAAGAGACTTTTCTGCTTTGGCTCTCCCACTTTGGAACATTGTGTCCCTCAAGCTGATATAACCCCACGCTCTATTGACTTTCTGAAAGGGCCTCAAAATCTGGCCCTGCCATTTGGCCTGGGAGCCCTGATGGGAGCGTATACTACTGTAGGTAGTCAATGGACTGAAAGAAGATTCCACCCCCATCCCATGTGTATCTTGTTCTCTTCCTCACCATCTTTGACAATTTTAATGTTCATTTTAATGCTGATGTCAGGGTTCCGACGGATGCCCTAATTAAATCATTAGCCTCGAGCCAAGCTTCAAAAGAAATCCAGTTATTTATTAGGAGCTTCATGTCGGTATGTTCCAAGTGTGGCTAACTCTGACCCCACATAATTTATGACCCAGACTTGACCCTGTTTCTCCCCTCCCCCCAGGGTGTGCCATCAGTCACATTCGCCAACGGAGCAATTTCGCGGGTTGTAGAGATCACTCCCCTCCGGCCACTATGGGTAAACCTGGGAGACAGCCTTGAGAGAGATATGTCTGGAATGTGCTTTTGTTTTTGGCTGCTTCACCGCTTTCCCATTCCCCTTGCCTATGACAACTCGAGAGCAGGCCAGGGATGCTTTGCGAGTTGACAGCTGATATTTATTATTGTAATATTTTAATGTTTTACCCACATCTGTTCAATTTTGTCCATAAAGAGTAAGGGAGGTTAAAACCTGGTGGTTTGGTAGAGGGTTCACTAATAGTCAGACAGCAAGAAGGGACCTTGGACTGTTACTCTTTCTCAGGGATTCTTGGAGTTGAACATGTTTCACTTACCTTTGCTACCGGTTCGCTCGCGCGTGCACCACTTCTGCACATGCTCAGAAGCTTCTGCACATGCACAGAGCATATTTGATGGTGTCCGGGCAGGTGGGTGGAGCCTCCCGCCACTGCTGCTACTGGTTCGCCCAAACCAGGGCGAATCGGTAGCAATCCACCAATGGTACATGTTAAGCAGGGGTGGGTTCGACTTACCTTTATTTATTTATTATTTATTTATTGGTTCGATTTATATGCCGCCCTTCTCCGGAGACTCAGGGCAGCTTACAATGTGTTAAGCAATAGCCTTCATACTTTTGTATATACCTGCTTAGTAGGGCGTTCGGCCCCCGCAAGTGGTGTTCTTTTTTATACAAAGTCCGCTTATTGCCCCCACAATCCAGGTCCTCATTTTACCTACCTCGGAAGGATGGAAAGCTGAGTCAACCTTGAGCCTGGTGAGATTTGAACCTGCAGTAATTGCAGGCAGCTGATGCTACTTAACAGCACTTTAGTCTGCTGCGCCACCAACTACTACTGGTTTGCAACGGGAACATGCCTGCACACTTCTGTGCAATATAATGTATGGGATTTGGGCGACATAGGCGGTATTGTATAAAATATTCTGCTTATGTAGACTGCTACCTCAGTCAAGAGATAGCAGGGACAAGCTTGCCTTACCATTTTTCAATTCTACATGTTTTATAGAGCAGCCCCTCTTTGTGCCCTAGAGAAATGCAATTAATCTTAATTAATGTTAAATTGACACCAGCTGGAAAATTCCTCGAAATTCAAGAAGCTCAGAAATATAGTTGGCGCACTGCTAACTCCATTTGATCGCTTCTGCTGGAAATTAACACTGAACATCCATCTTCCTTCATTATGGTTTTGGTCGGGATCTGTGTGCTCACAGTGGGAGAAAGTTAATTATATTCTCTCATTCTTTTTTTTTTTTTTTAAAGACTTGCTAAGTGAGGTTTGGAATGGCCTGTAACAAGTCAGAACTAGAGAATATCAGTTTAGCATGGCCTCAAACCCTGTCATTATAAAGTCACTATAATTCAGAGTGCAGTTGTATGCCCTGTAAAGCAGGGGTGAAATCCAGCAGGTTCTGACAGATTCTGGAGAACCGGTAGCGGAAATTTTGAGTAGTTCGGAGAACCGGCAAATACCACCTGTGGCTGGCCCCAGAGTGGGGTGGGAATGGAGATTTTGCAATATCCTTCCCCCAGGAGTGGGGAGGGAATGGGGATTTTGCAGTATCCTTCCCCTTGAGTGGGGTAGGAATGGAGATTTTGCAATATCCTTTCCCTGCTAGTCCACCACGCCCACAGAACCGGTAGGGAAAAAATTTGGATTTCACTCCTGCTGTAAAGGAACTGCTGAAATTAACTTGCTGGGTATTAACTTGCAATATTTTGATATGATTTATTTTTGTGTATTAATCAAATTTACCTGGCAGCTCATCACGAGGAAAGTGGAAGACATCAATCGCTCAATTATATGAGTTAAAAAACGCATTGCCAATCAGAGCTCTCTTCCACCCTCACCCCCCCCACCTACTAAGTATAAACACTGTGTGTGTTACTTTCCAAGAGACAATTAGCTGAATTTAAAGAAACAAATTGTATGTGTCCATAGCTGGCTTAAAAACCCCATGCACATCACGTACAGTAGGGCAATGTTGCAGATTCAATTCTGAAAAGAACGCAGAGAAATATGAATGCAGCAACTCTTGTTGCTTGACTCATTCATCCACTCACAGATGGATTTATTTCTAGGAGCCACACAATCCTGGATATGTGTGTGCTCTAATAAGACTTTGGCAGATTCTGCATTTTGCACTCTGTATACTGCCAAGCACTTTTTTCCCCCAGAATTGAATCTAAAAGCACTGTGCAGCCCAGAACATTATCTAAATTAGAATAGGCCGATGAGGCCAATGGGAACAATTCAGTGGTGGGTTTCAAATTTTTTTACTACCGGTTCTGTGGGTGTGGCTTGGTGGGCTGGCGTGGGTTGGTGGGCATGGCTTGGTGAGCTGGCAGGGGAAGGATACTGTAAAATCCCCATTTCCTCCCAATCAGCTGGGACTTGGGAGGCAGAGAATAGATGGAGGCGGGGCCAGTCAGAATTTTTACTACCGGTTCTCCGAATTACTCAAAATTTCTCCTACGGGTTCTCCAGAACTGGTCAACTGAAGCCCACCTTTGGAACAATTGACTCAGAGAATAGAATAGAATAGAATAGAATAGAATAGAATAGAATAGAATAGAATAGAATAGAATAGAATAGAATAGAATAGAATAACAGAGTTGGAAGGGACCTTGGAGGTCTTCTAGTCCAACCCTCTGCCCAGGCAGAAAACCCTACTACTTCAGACAAATGGTTATCCAACATCTTTTTAAAAACTTCCAATGTTGGAGAATTCACAACTTCTGGAGGCAAGTTGTTCCACTTATTAATTGTTCTAACTGTCAGGAAATTTATCCTTAGTTCTAAGTTGCTTCTCTCTTCGATTAGTTTCCATCCGTTGCTTCTTGTCCTACATTCAGGTGCTTTGGAGAATAGCTTGACTCCCTCTTCTTTGTGGCAGCCCCTGAGATCTTGGAAGACTGCTATCATGTCTCCCCTACTCCTTTTCTTCCCATAGTGGTCAGGGAAGATGACACTTCCCATAGTGGTGCCATAGATGGCTTCCCATAGTGGTCACGGCAGGTTTTTTTTCCTCCCATGCTGCTTTCTGGATAGTGGAATGTGGAAAAAGAACAAAACAGAATAGAACAGAATAACCGAGTTGGAAGGGACCTTGGTTGTCTTCTAATCCAACTGCCTGCTCAAGCATGACACCCTATATCTTTCCAGACAAATAAATGGTTATCCAACATCTTCTGAAAAACCTCCAGTGATGGAGCATCCACAACTTCTGGAGGCAAGCTGTTCCATAGATTAATTGTTCTCACTGTCAGGAAATTTCTCCTTAGTTCTAAATTAGATCTCTCTCTTTGACAATCTTCCACCTGTTACTTCTTGTCCTCAGGTGCTTTGGTCAACCCCCTCTTCAAATATTGGAAGACTGCTGTCATTGCCACCCCTAATTCTTCTCTTTGTTGGACTA